AAGATGTGGAGGTGGGGGTGATGAGGAGGAGGAGGAGAAGTTAGAAGGCCTGGGGGAAAGCCAGGGGAGGGCCAGGGAGGGGGAGAGGGAGAGGGAGAGGGAGGAGGAGGAGGAGGAGGAGGAGGAGGAGGAGGAGGAGGAGGAGGAGGGGGAAGAAGAGGAAAGGAGGAGCAGGAGGAGGCGGAGGGAGGAGGAGGAAAAGGAGGAGGAGGACGACGACGAGATGTAGGAGGAGGATTGATTGAACACTTCGCTAAGCCAAGTCCTCACAGGACCTAGGCAAACGACATCAGCTCGACAGTGGGCAACTGACCAGTGTGTGGTTGGGGTGCAACCCTCGGCTGAAGCGTCTGACATTTGAAACGAGCGCTGGATTACAATTCGCGCACCCCTTGATCCACCCCCAAGGCCCCTCCAAATCAAGCTTTATGTTCGAAAAGGCTGGTTAAAGGGGGCAGCTCGTCTAGCACCTTGCCCTCCCCTTATGACTCTTATTGTGGGAGCTCGTGAATGTTTCCTTGTAGTTCCCCGCAAGGCCAACAGCCAGCTGGCCCTGACAAATGCACCCACGGGGGAGGGGAGGGGCGGGGAGGGGGAAGGGGAGAGGGGGGGGGTGGCAGGGGAGAAGGGGGGGAGGGGAGGGATGGGGAGGGGAGGGGAGGACAAGGGAGTGGATGGGAAAAGGGAGGGAGAGGGGGAGGTGAAGGCGAAGGGGAGGTGAGGCGAGGGAGGGGGGGGGGGGGGCGGGGTGCGGGGAGGGGGGGGGGGAGGGGAGGAGGGGGGGGAACGCGAAGGAAGGGGAGGGGGAGGGGATGCGAGAGGAGGGGAGGGGAGGGGAGCGGAAGGGAGCGGATAAGGGAAGGGGAGGGGGAGGGGGAAAGGGGAGGGGAGGGGGAGGCGAAGGGGAGGTTGAGCGGGGGAGGGGAGGGCTGGGGATGGGGGGGGGATGGCCCGGGGAGGGGAGGGGAGGGGGGAGGAGGGGAAGGGAGAGGAGAGGAGATGGGAGGGAGGGGGGAGACATGGGGAGAGACCAACAGAGGCAGAATAACATATGGACAGACGAGCGAAGGAGGGCGAGGGAGAAGAGACAGAGACGAGAGGCCGGGCCATCATGAATCAGTTGGAATCTGGGACCAAATGGAAAGTTGTGATTGATTTGTTTGACAAAGGTGATTCAAACGTTTGAGGCAATGGAGACGACGATAAAGACAACGCTGTTGTGGCTACAAAGGATAATGGTCCAACCAGAGTTGGGGACATGGGAATGGCAAGCGTACTGAAATTGATATATGGAACGATCCAGAAACGGTTGGGAAAAGTTTCGTGTTGTTAAGACCCAGCATAACGCACAACTCAATCAGAAAGCTGTAAAACATGAACGCTTGTTCAGGTCAACTGAACAATCAGGGCCTTGTTTTGGGAGTTTCTTGCGGCGCGAAAGCTATGACGTCCAGAAGCTCCTGTTTTCGTGCGCGTGACATGCGCAGGCCCTGCCAGGCCCAAAACCAAGGCCCTTTTAACGAGGATGGGATGGTGACACCAGTAAGCGGTCTCTGTTTCGGCCCCTGACTGGTGTTTCTGTTCAAGGGCGAACGGCGCAAGGGAGCGCGGGTCTCCAGCCTCGCCGCGACGGCGGCGCCCCCCCCCCCCTTCCCTCGCACACACACGCACGCACACACACACACACACACACACACACACCACACACAAACGCAAAACACAACACACACACACACACACACACACACACACACACACACACACACACACACACACACACACACACACGCACGCGCACACACACAACACCCCACCCCCACCCCCACCCCCACCACCACCATCACCACCACAGCCACCACCACCACCACCCCACCCCCACCACCACCACCACCACCACTCGCCCACCCCCACCCACCCACCCAACCCACCACCCACCCGCCGCGGTAGTAATAATCAGTTAATTAGTCAGCAATAACAACAATAATCAGCCCACGCCCCCCCCCCCCCCCCCCCCTCCCCCCACCACACCGCCACCACCACACACACAACCACCTCCCAGGACCCACCACCACCACACACACACCCCCCACCACCACCACCACCACCAACAACAACAACAACAACAACAAAACACACACACACACACACACACCCACACACACACACACACACACGCGCCACCACCACGCCACCCCAGGCGCGGCCGCCGTCTTCCCGAGGCCCAAAGCGCCAGCGACAGGAGGGCGGGCGCGCGGCAGCGACAGGAGGGCGGAGGGGGGAGGGGGGGGAAGGGAAGGGGAGAGGGGGAAGGGGAGACGGAAGGGGGAGAGGGAAAGGGAGGAGGAGGGAGGAGGAAGAGGAGAGAAAAGGGGGAGGGAGGAGAGGGGAGGGAATCGGGGAGGGACGAATGAGCAGGTACGGGGGGGACAGGAGGGTGACAGGAGGAGGATGGGGCGCCCTGGGAGGGCCATGGCTCGCCAGGGGGCGCCTTATCACCGGTCTGGATTGCCCCCCCCCCCGCCCCGACTTGTCAGCCCTCGCCCCCCCTGGCTTTCCAGACGGCCGGGGGGCCAACCCGAATTGCCACCGCGCCGTGGGCCGAGATCCCTCTCCCCCTTATTGTGGCGGCATCCAGGCTGGCGAGACTATTGCTTAATCGCCCCCCCCCCCCCATTTTGAAAATCCTTTTTACAGTCCTTGCTCTATAGTCTATATACTCTACCTACTTGGCCATACAAACCTACCCACTCGGCTCTACGATCGCATGGCTCGCACGGCGTTTCGCATGAATAGAGTGGACTGCGCATAGGAGTAGAATAGGAGTAGCGCAGAGAAGAGAAGGACTAGTGCAGGGTCGGAGTAGAGTTGGCATAGAGCAGGTCGGGTAGGGCATATTAGAGTAGAAAAACGTTGAAACGAGTAGAGTAGAGCAGGGTCGGGTAGGCAAGGTAGACTAGAGTAGGAGTGGATCAGAGTAGAGTGGAGCGCGGGGGGGAGAAGCAGAAATAGAGTAGACCATGTATATTGCAGGTAGACTAAGATGATATATAAGGTAGGACAGAGCAGAGTAGAGTAGAGACGGCTTCGATCAAGAGCAGAGTCGGTATAGTAGAGTGCCGAATAGGGTTTAGTAGAATAGAGCACAATGGAGTTAGAGTGGGTCGGAATAGTAGGATAGACAGGTAGAGTAGAGTTAGGGGTAGGTCGAGTAGGAGTCGATAGGTAGAGGAGGGTAGAGTAGAGTAGTCAGCCAAGGCCTCGCGAAAAGCAATTCGACAACATACATGCAGAACAACACATGCGAAAATCAAGGAAACCATGCGCAAAGCAAGGTCGCGCAAGGGCAAACAAGAAAAGGTGGCCATGGACATGTTCTCTATGTGCTGAATTAGATAATTAGATCTCCTATCGGCAAACCTGTTTTGGTGAATGTTATTCTTGCGAGTCGCGGGATGCACATGATGGCCCGGCAAGAGGACGGACTAAAGAAGAAAAGAGACGGGATTGAGGAGCGAGGCGGAGGTAGTCAGGAGTGCGTCATTGAGCGACGACGTGAGTTCCAAGGGGCGGGAGGGAGGGTTGGCGGCTGGCGAGGGGAGGGGAGGGGAAAGGGTAGAGGGCAGAGGGCAGAGGGGAGAGGGGGAGCGGGGAGGGGACACGGGAGAGGGGAGAGGGGAGGGAGCTGGGAAGGGATGCGGCTGGAATCAAGGGGGAAAGGGGGGAGGGAGGGTTGGGGGGAGAGAGGGGGGCTGGCCCCCGGGGAGGGGGGGGGGAAGGGGGCGAGCTTGGAGTGGAAGGGTGGGGAGGGGAGGGGTGGGAGGGAAGGCAAGGGAGGGGAGGGCTGGGGAGAGGGAGGGGGATCGGGGATGGGGAAGGGGGTGTCTTGGGGAGGCGAGGGAAGGGAGGGGCGGGAAGGGGGGGAGATGGCGGGCTGCCGGCTGGAGGTTTACAAACCTGTCCACTCGTGGGCCTTCTTGGCTCCGCTTGCCGACGGGTAGAGCTGTTTGTGCTTCGCCAGCAAGTCAGAATTGCAATTCTGGGCCATCCGCAGACCCCTGGAAGGGCCACCAGGCTGTGATGAACAGGTTGCCCAGTCCTCGGTGCTTCAGATTTTAATTTTCATTTGCAATTGAGATGGTTCTGATGTTCTTCGTTTAATGTTATGGGCCTCGGAATCGCTGGAAATACTAAGGCTACTAAGGATCCGCACGGCACTCCCAAGTCCCTTGGCCCATGGCCCCTCAAGAACACTCCCCAAGGGCCCACCAATGCCCCTCCAGGCTCCAGGCCCCGTGCCCTTTGGCCCGAAAATGCGTTCCAGGCCCACCTAAAGGGTTCCCCACTCCTGGCCCCTGGGCCCCAGGGGCCCGCCACCACAACCCACGATTCCAGATGAGCTGCCTGCAAACCGCAGTTCAATAAGATAAGGGGCCGGAGACAATGGGCGACGCCCTTCACATGTGCTGCAAAATCTGGACCTTGAGGTTATTGCCCTGCTCCCGAATGCGAGCGGTCTCCGAAATCAGATGCTGCGTCTGAGGTTGATCACACCCGTAGCCGTCAGGGGCTTTCGGCTGGCGCTGGTCGAGCGCGCGGGTCAGCCCATCCAGCTGGGAGCTGTTTCAAGCAAGGGCAAAGGGGGCCTGGGGTCTGGGGCGTTGCATGTCCTTCCCTTCGCTGCCCTGCACCTGCACCTCCCGCCCCCTCCCTCCAGAGCCCCCCCATCCTCGCCTCCTTCTCCCCTTTTCTTGGTCCCTCCCCTCCTCTGCTCTCTGTCCCCCTGTTATTCTCTCCACCTCGCCCTCCCCCTCCTCCGCCTCCCCCCCCCTCTCCCGCCCCCCCCTCACCTCTCCCTTCCCTGGGCGCGCCTGGTCAAACAAGGCTTTCAAACAAACTGCTATGTCCCATCCTCTGGGGCACTCCAGGTCAAAAACTGATGGGCACCAGGCTCCGGGAAAAGAAGACGACCTGGGAATGAAAGAAAAATAAACGCATTGCGCCTTGCTCAACTCGCCCTTCTGGGGAACGTCATTGGTGGTCTGGGCCTCCAAGGTGTCGCCGAGGTTCGTGAAATCGTTGATGGCGCCCAGGATGGTGAGCGCGTCCTGGCAGATGTTGATGTCGTGCTGGACCACGAGCTTCATGGACACCGCACTGCCGTCGTCCTCCACAGGGAGCAGCTTGTAGAGGTCATGCAAGATCGCGACGTTCTCCAAGCTGATATCTTTCCAGCTGTCGCTGGCAGAAGTGCCCATGACGTTGTAGAAATGCGTCCACAAGGCGGAGGCTTTGTCGGAGTTGCCAGTGGAGAAAACCAATCCTTTTGCCGAATCAAGCGCCTGCTGGAGTTCGCTCCAGTGCTTGCTGGTGGTGTTTTCGAGGGCGTCCATGATATCTGTTGCTGCCGTGGTAACACCGCGCAACTTGCGCGCGGTCCTGGTGGCCTCCTCCACGTGGGCAATGGAGCTGAGATGCGCCTTCAAAGTCGCCTTGAAATATGACTCTGTGCTTGGACACTGCTTGGCGCAGTCCCAAGCACTCGTGAAAAAAATTCTCATCAAGACTTCCTGCTTCGATGGGTCGTCGCCACACTTGAGGATGTCCTCGCAACGGGTCTTCACGAACTCCAAGAGGTCGTGCTGGAGCATACGGGTGCTGTCCTTGCGGACTTGGAGGATGATGGCTGGGAGCTCCTTGAGAGCCTCGATGCCTGCTGCGTTCTTCTTTTCCTCGTTGGCGCTCCGCAAATTGCGCTCCATCTCACTGACCTTGTTCATGAGATCTGGACCGGCTAGCAACGACATCTCCCACTCGTCGTGCAAGTTCTTGATGTCCGGGTCGGCGACGATGGTCTGGCGCAAGCCAACCATCATGTGGCAGTAAGTGTCTGGGGGGGCCACCACCTGAACCCCTCCTCCGTCGGCTGGCTCGTCGATGGAACCATACCCGGGAGACACGCTGAAGGTGAAATCCATGTCTTCTTGAGTCACGGGCGTGTGGGCGTCGATGAGGTGGGCGATGCTCTTGCACACCGAATTGAGCTCGTTGATCTCCTCTGGGCGCCAAGGGCACATACAGGACAAAATGTCACTTGCGCAACATACCAAATAATATGTTCTATGTTGCAGCAACCAACCCTCCGGCGTGGACCCCAAACAGTAAATTCTTGCATTCTGCGTGCGCGATGGGCATGGGGCACGGGGGTGGGATTAGACTTCCATTAAACTCGTGGGGCGTGGGAGTGGGATACAGCTAGGCCGCGACGGACCCAGGAACCAAGACATGGCCAAGAGTCTTGGCCACGACTTAGCCACGTCTTGGCACAAGACGTGGCCAAGACTCAGGACGCACCGGGGCATGGCAGGGATATTGCCCAAAAGCCCGAACGCCAGGTTCACATAACAAAATAAGTAATACTCCTGCCAGCGCAAACACTGTTTGGGAATATGCTGCAGTCCATTCAACGCCCATGGGCCCATCATCTGGACGACAAAACACTTGGCCGACCACGCATAGCATCGAGCAAAACCCAACCACCCAGATGTAACAGGTCACTCAAAACCCACAGCAACATGAATTGCATTCAAGACAAAAAGACTGACCAGCTAGCCCAAGGCTCAAGGCCATCAAATCCAGGAGGCCGCAAAGGTCCCGAAGATAAGAAACCAAAGATGGCTGCTGGCGACGCACTAACAATTTGAAGATCACAAACTTGTCACCATCGATACGCAGCGCCGCCTGCAAGCTGACCACCTTCAGGATACGGCCCCAGAAAACCCCGATGCGGCAGCAAACAAACCTAAAGCTGACAAGCCTACATCCTAAGACCCAAGATTCTGGACCCAAACAACGGGGAACCTGCTTTGCTCCTAAGGCATTATTTCTGATATGTCCTCGCCCTTGATGCCAGGCGTCGCCTCCAAGACAGTATGGACGATGTTCTTTAAGGTCGTGTGGTGACTGACGCCGCTCAAGACGGCGGGCACGATGAGCTGCTTGCAGATACAGGAGGCTAAGAATCCAGCCTGCAAGTGTACTGCCATTTGGGACTGGAAGCTCTTGAAGGTCACGTTGAGGACGTCGCCCTCGTATTCCCCAGTTTGGGTGCTGCTGCCACTGGCGTCCTGCAGAAGGCAGAACGCAAGTGGAAGGGGCTGGGGGATCTGAAACCTTGCTGCTTGCTCCTCGAGGTCCTCGAGTACCACTGCGTGCGGCGACCCAAAACTGCACCCCAGTGTGAACGAAGGGCGGCTGCAATGCTCCACATCACTCCCGACAGTCCCAATTTCGTGGACCTGGAGACAGTGGAGGAGGAGGAGGGGGAGGACGGGGAGGGGGAGGGCGAGGGGGAAAAACACATGTGGCAGGGCCCTCGTGCACGGACATCGGTGGGAACGGTGGGAACTCTCGGTGGAACCCTGACGAAACGCATTCAGCCAAATGTTCGCACGACGGGCCGAACGCCCGACGCTGCCGATGCAATTCATTTTGCTCCTGGACCTCCACTCCACCCCGTCCCTCCTGGGACACGCTCTCTCTCTCTCTCTATGTTTTTATCTTTTTTTATATCTCTCTCTCTCTCTGTCTTTCTCTCTCTCTCTATCTCTTCTGGGGTCTGGGGCCCGGGGGCGGGTCTTGAGCTTCAAATTTCAGTGAGACCCAGGGTTTGCCGACAAAGAATAAAAAAATACAAATATGATTCTTGGGCGTTCGGGGTCTTGGCTCTCGGGTTGGAGGGTTCATTTCAAGTAAGGGTGGAGCGCTACATAAAGTATTCTTGGCTGGGTTGGTGGCAATGCAAGGCAAGGGCGGTTTCCATGACTTCGCCTATGGTGGGGAGGGGTGGGGTGTGCGTGCGTGGCGTGTGGTGGTGGTGGTGGTGGTGCTGGTGGTGGTGGTGGTGGTCGTCGTCGTCGTGGTCGTGGTCGTGGTAGTGGTCGTGGTCGTGGGCGTGGTGGTCGTGGTGGTCGTGTGTGTGTGTGTGCGGGTGCGTCCGTTCGTGCTTGCGTGTGTGTGTGTGCGTGTGCGTGTGCGTGTGTGTGTGTGTGTGTGTGTGTGTGTGTGTGCGTGTGTGCGTGTGTGCGTGTGTGCGCGTGTGTGTGTGTGTGTGTGGTGGTGGTGGTGGTGGGGTGGGTGGGTGGGTGGAAGGGTGGGGGTGGGTGGTGGTGGTGGTCGTCGTGGTGGTGGTGGTGGTGGTGTTGGTGGTGGTGGTGGTGGGTGGTGGGTGGTGGTGGGTGGTGGGTGGTGGTGGTGGTGGGGTGGTGGGTGGTGGGTGGTGGGGGTGGGTGGGGGTGTTGGGGTGGTGGGTGGTGGGTGGTGGTGGTGGTGGTGGTGGCGGTGGTGGTGGCGGTGGGGGGAGGGGGGGAGAGGGGGGGGGGGGGCAGGGCGGGGATGGAGGGGGGGAGGAGGGGGGGGGAAGAAGGAAGGGGGGGGAGCGTATGGGGGGGGGCGCCGATGAGTGGGCAGCCTATGCGGGGCAGCCTCTGAAGGAGGATGGGGCGGGGAGGGGGGGGGGGGTAAAGGGGGGGGGGGCAGGCCATGGGCAGTAGCCTGCCAGGGCAGCCGATGGGAGACAGGGGGGAGGGAGGGGGGAGAGGTGGGGTGGGAGGGAGGGGCGGGGGAGAGGGGGGGAGGGGCGGGGGCTAGACAGGGCAGCCGATTGGGAGCAGCAAGTGCGGGGCAGCCTTCGGGGGAAGGGGGGATGGGGGCATGGGAAGAGGGGCTGCGAGGGTGAGAGAGGGGGGAGGGGAGTGGGCAGCCTATGGCCTATGGGCGGTGCAGCCTGCGTGGGTGGGGGCGGAGGGAGGGCGTTCAGGGGACCGGGTGGGATAGGAGGGGGGGCGGGTGCAGGGCAGCCGATGGGGGAGGGGGCAGCCGATTGTGGGGGCGGGCCTGCATGCTGCCGCCCCCGTCCACTCTGGCGCGCCCCCTCACACATTTCGTGCCCCCTTTATCGGGAGCTCCTCCGAAGGCCCCAGCGGCAGGGCCCGCATGCCCCCCCTCCCTCCCCCCCCCTCCGAAAACAAACACTCACACACACGCAGGCACTTGAAATATTGGTTAGAGATTGGAGTGTTGCTCTGGTTTTTGGGGGGCGTCTACAGGATTGTTGGTCTGAGCATGTTGGTGCGTCTGCAGGATGCACAATCCCATGTTGTGGGATAAAACATCTCGTGCCTTTGAGCTCTCCAAGCTACTGTAATCGAAAACGGCAATTCCCTACCTGCAATCCCGCGCGCCGCACGATAAAAAATCAGAAACGAAAACACAACGAAATTCAATGTGTCGACCCCTGCGCGTCGCCCACGACGTCTGAGAACACACATAGAAAACGCGTCGAAATCCACAATTTCTACCCCCGCGCGTCGCCCACCACGCTCCTGGAGTGGGAACGGGAGGGAGGGGCAGCAGGAGGAGGACGAGGAGCAGCAGCAGCAGCAGCAGCCTCACGCAGTGGTGCTGCCGCACGGGCCCCAGGAGACCACGGCGGAGGCCACAGCCCCCCCACCCCCCGGCGAGAGCACGGATCCTGCCCCCGCCGACCAGCGGGCCGGCGGCGGCACAGAACGCGGAGACGTCTCGACTCCCCCCCCCCTCCCCCGCCCTTCCCCCGTCCCCTTCCCATCCCATTGTTCTTTCTCTTGCCCCCGTCCCTTGACCCTCCCCCATGAGTTCCCCCCCCGCGCGCAACTTTCGCTCCACCGTACTTTCCGCCTACATTGACGCACGCGCTTGCAATGTATATCCCCGCATGCTACAATCAGCCCCAGATACCCCGCCGTCTGTGCACGGAGGTACGTTTGCACGTCGACGCTTGGTGGTCTTTGTTGGCGAATGCACCTAGCATCGACCACTGGCCCCATCGGACACGAACTCATTCCTACACTCTCTGGTCCCCGAGACCCCTTTTTTTTTCCGACGCTGAATCCATTTCGACCTGAGTTTCTTTATTTCTGCGTCTCCACATCGATGACGAGCTTCGGTGAATGTGTGGTAAAATCTTGGTAAACAAAGCTTATGTTTGTGTAGTTGTTTATGTTTTGCCTTGGATATCCCTCGTCTCCGTGTCGACAACGAACAGATTCGGCAAAATACTTGGTAAATGCTAAATAAACAGGGCCAATGGTAGAGGCTGTGGGCACAGGCAAATGATGGAGATAATGGTTGAAGAGAATTCGTACACACACACCACCACCACTACCAACAACAACAACAACAACAACACCAACACCACCACCAACAACAACAACACACACAGGCACACCAGCGGGCGGGCCTCCTGAAAATTCGTAACTGGTTTAGGACAACCAATTGTGTCACTTGCATTCTGGGCCTTCGACATGAGTGACGCATCCCCTGTGTAGCGCGTAACGCACAGGCGCATACAGCAATGTGCAATGTGCGTTGCCGCTGTCGCAGTCTGGCCACAGCCCAGGTCTCTGCTGGGCTTTATAGGAATCAATTGTGCTCTGCTGGGCTGCCTGAGGCAATCTCGAAGGCTGGGGGCAAAGTGAGCAGTGATAAGGGGGAGTGGTGGTCGGGGGGGGGGGGGGGGTCCTGGGGCCCCTGGGGGCCTGGGTCGATGCATGGGGGTACGTCTGCTATTTGGGATAGGGGTGACCCACAGTTTGAAGGTATTATTCTTCTGGGCGCCCGCGGAGGGGGGGCGGCGGGTTGGAGGGTTGTGATATAATTTGAACAAGGTTCTCCAGAATATCTTGGAAGCCAATTCGGAAGAACCCTGGTCGGATTACTCGACCACCCTGTATTAAGTAGACCCTAGCAGAGCATCGGGATGGGGACTGGACTGGGATGGGGGTGGGGAAGGGGAGAGGAGGGGGGGGGGGGCGCGGTGAGGGAGTGAGATTGGGGACGGTGAGGGGAGAGGGGAGGGGGGCGATGGGATGGGGAGGGGGGGGGGGGGGGGGGAAGGGGGGGGAAGGGGAGGGGGGATGGGTGGGCGGAGGGAGGGCGGTGAGGGGATGGGGAGAGGGGGGGGGGGGGGGGAGGGTAGGGCAGGGGAGGGAGGGCTGAAGGGGGGGGGGAGGGTGGG